TATTAAGAGTTTGTAATGGCCTGAACACAAAAGAGAAACACTTTAGAAATGAATTAATTTAGTTTCTCTGATAATCATAGCTTTTGAATTTACTGTCTTTTGATTTTAAATTTATGGCCTCAATATGACATTAGCAGAGTTTATTGCATTTTGCAGGTGGCATTCATATGTTATTTTACGTGAAGTATATTGTGGGCAATGGGTTACCATTTTTTTTTTTTTGTTAAAATTTCCAGAACCACACAAGTTCTTAATTAGACTTGCAAATTAGTAATGCCTTTCTCTTTGGGGGGAAAAATACTTAAAACATTGCAGGAATTTGTATGCCTTTTTTCCTTGTACTGGGAAAAGTTTGCAATAAAGTTTGCTACTTGAAACTTTGACATTTTTTAGTAAGTTCTGATTTACACATGAAGTCATCCTTTGATAATTCCAAACAAATGTCTTTTTCAAGCAAGCCAGTGTTTTGTATGTGTTCCTCTAGTTCCAAAAGGGTTTAACAGATTTATCTTGCTTTCTGCCACTTAAAACAATGGAAAGTTGTCATCTCAATTACATTTTTAATATTTTGAATAATTTAGTAATTGACACCTTAATCATAGATTTCAGCAGTACAAACACTACCCACCGATCACCTGCACTTTCTCCAGAGAAAATAACAGACAAATAAATAGCAATAAACAAAAACAAACAATAACAAAAAGTAACAGAGAAACAATAAATCAGAGTTAATACTATTAATGTTATCACATAAAGTAGGAAAAGAAAGCATGAAGTAACATTTTTCTGATAAAATCCTTATAGTTCTTAGGCACAGTAAGATCTGAAAGCAGAGTTTAATTTGTATAGTGTGTTTTTAAAACTAAACTCACCCTGGACTTAGTTCCAAGAGGGTTCAAAATTCTTATCATTGATTCCCATGATAGAGGTCCATTTCCTACTGAATATGTAAATTCTTAAAAGATTTTTAGTGATATTGTTTGGCTTGTAAGTAAAGTTCTTGGATATTTTTTAAGCTACATAATGGTTGATAATGAAATTTTGTTCTTACAAGTATTAAATTATGCCAAAAAGCCACTTACTTTATATTCTTTAAATACCATAGCATGATTCAACTAAAGCTTGGAATGTAAACTGTCTTAAGTAACACTAATGAAATGTACACGTAATGAACAATATAACTAACTTAATTTTCATGTAACAGATAACATCTGGGGGAAATGTGTATTGGTAAGCTATATAAAACTAATTTTCTAGCGACCACATCTGTAGATGTTATTTATTGTATGTTCACTTAACAGTCGATTATTCAGTTTAGAAATCTATTCTCTTCTTTATTAGAGCTTTTAATGTACTCACCTTGGTTCAAATGGTCTGCTCATTATCTGAAAAAATATAAATGGCATTCACATGGAACAACATGATTGTTTTTATTATATCCATTTGTGTGCAAGCATTCAAAAATGGCAAGAGAAACACATTTATTGCTTTACATTCAAAGTAATATTTAGGGGGTATTTGAAAGTCAAGCAAAACCAATCATTTGGCCAAATGGATGTATGTGTATAATCAGAAACTCCTGAGTTTTAATCTCAGCATTAGGCCTCGGGCAAGTCACTTAAAGTCATTCCCTTTGTTTCTTGATCTGAAGATTATGGGTGCTATTCTCTTATAGAGAAAAGGAGGTTGCTAAATCAGGGTACCAAACAGGAGTGTTTTTTTAATAAACATACTTGATCCTTTTTCTGTTTTTTATTTTTCTAGATTTAAGAGGTAACATATTAGGCTTTTGAGGGAAAAAATATGAGACAATTACAATTCTATAGGAATGTATAAAAATAGTTATAAAACTAGCTTTATTTAATTTGCTTCAACTATTCATAGACTGAGGAAATTATAACGTTCTTTCAGAAAATCTAACTTAATAAAGCTAACCATGTCTCCCTGTTTTAAATAGATTTTATTACAGAACCAGTGATGTTGTAAAACATGAGGTTTTGTTAAAAAAAAAAATACAAAGGCCTAATTGTATTTTTTTTAAGAAAGTATTGCATCAGACGGTTTCATTTAAACATATTTGCTGGCTCTGTGCTTTCACCACAATTATTGATTCTAATTTTTCTTAAACTTTTTTTTTAAATGCCACTTAATGGGGAAAAAAATCACTGTGATGCTTCTGTAAACTGTATTTGACTGTATACCTTCTTATTATTAGTTAAACAGCTTTGTATTTATCCTCATCTGAAATTAGGATATGTTTTCCCTTATAGTACCTTCCTAACACAGCCAAATGTAACTCTTCATGAAAAAAAAAGTGTAAGATTAAAAAAATTTTTTTTTAAAGAAAAGTGTAGCTATGGTTTGGTTCCCTGATAGTATAAACACCCTGAAGAAAAGAAATTACTCCTTCTCCCCCTCCCCCCCGCCCTCCAGCTTTGTGCACAAGGTAAATCAAGTGACTAGCTGTATTAGCTACACTCAAAGTCAAGTAGAAGAAAAGCTCACTCTCAGTCAGAGCTCCAGGTTCTAGGGATAAATGGGAGCTTCATTCCACCAGAGAAATGATGTGGACCTGAGGAGCTCCAAGTTTCCAGTACACACACACCCTAGTGCCAAAGACCAGGAGCGCTGGGTCATTGGCAGGTAGTTCAGATTAGCTTTCTAAAGAAATCCAAACCACTGGGAGGGCTGGGAGGGATAAAATGAGAGAGTTGAGCACAAATATCTGCTTAAATTTAAGTGTATAATCTGATGGAAGATGGGGCGCAGGTGGGCAGGTGGTAGAATCTGCTAACAGGATGGAGAGGGAATAGGGAATCTATTGAGAACTTCCACCTCGAGGTGAGAGAGAATTAGCAGAAAGGCCTAGCCTGCATATGGAAGTGCATAGCAGTGGGGCAGATATGCCACAGCAACAAATAAAAGGGCATTTCAGCTTCATTAGAAGGATGTATTTGTATCTTGCCCATTAGCTCAGGCTTATTTTCTCCAAGCCTGCAGGAAATTCAGTAACCTCCCTTCAATTCTTCCTCTCTTATTTCAATGTCTCACCCACCGCCACTCCCCCCATATTTCTATTTCTCAGCCTATATTAAAGTCTGTACCACTCGTGCTCTTCCCTGTCTCTGTATTCCCATGTGCTGCTTATTTATTTTACCTATAACGTTTCAGAGGACACTAAAATATGTTTAGCTGTTTCATTGTCCTAGTTTAGTAAAATAAAGAGCAATATAAAATGTAGGAGGATGAAAAAACAAGCTTAGTGAAAAAAGGTACAAATAATTTTGTAGGAAGCTGAAAATGCCTCCATTTAGGAAAAAAACTGGGGCTTATGAATGTGATGAGAGAAAAGAATCATTCTGATATGCTTTTTCTTGATGTTCTATTTTGATTAACATTTAGTCAACTTAAGATAAACAATCTGGAATGATGTCATCTAACAGAATAGAGATCAAGTGCTCAATAACATCAGTAATTTCCAACTATGGCAACATGATGACACATACCAGTTTACTGAAAACTGAATAGGCCAAGAAGTTAGCACACAAGGGTTTAACTCCCATACCTAGCAATTATTTGACTAAGCCAGTCATCTAATCTCTTGGTTTCCAATTCACTTGACTGTAAAGTTAGGACACTTCATTCCTACTTTATATGTATACTAAGCAGCAACTTTCTATAAAATCAAATTAAAGTTAGAAATATGAATCCAATGTAAGATACATTGGTATGACCAAGCAATAACTTAGCCTCCAGTACATTTCAAAACCCATATAAGTAAAAATAAATATATTTAAGTGATGAAATATTATATAAGCTTATCGGAACTATTGTGAAATTAGAAATGAATATATAATGATTTTAGGGCTTTTCCAGGCCTCAGGGGATGGTAATTATTTGGTGAATTTATGCATTTCCAGAGTATTGTCTTCAAACTTGTAAGGCTCACAGTCTGACCTTGTCAGCAAATAGGATAGCGTCATCTCAGGGCCACAACAACAGGATCATGGAGCTTACTATATAAACTAGAACATCAATTTATTGATTTACAGTAAGGAATGTGATAAGCAAGAGAATCAGAGCACAAAAGTGGACATATCTTTATAGATCATTTGAGAGATGGAAAGTCAAATTATGATCAAAATATTGGTTGTTCAACATAGAATCAGAACAAGAGGAACTAATAAAATGATTCAGATGTTTAATGAAATCAGTGCTCTGGTCTCCTCTTTCTCTCTCCCGACTTCTTTTTTTTTTTAATTTATTGATTTTTTTTTAAAGAGAGAGAGAAACAGAAGCATTAATTTGTTGGTCCACTTACCTATGCATTCATTGGTTGATTTTTGTATGTGCCCTGACTACGGAACGAACCCACAACCTTGGCGTATCGGAGGATGCTCTAACCAGCTGAGCTAACCAGCCAGGACTTAAATTGACATTTTAATTCCTGTTTCTTCATTTCTACTGTTGACCAACCATAATCCCCCTTCCTCTGTTTGATACACTCTTGCTATAGAATTATTAAATGCTCACAGTGAAATTTTGCCCTGCCCTCTGTGCTCTTGGTTAATTTTGCAAGCATCTCTGATTTACTGTGTGCTGGCTTTATTCAGTAACCTAGAGCCTTTAGCAAGTTCTTGATGGCCATTTCACTATGGCCTGCAAGAACAACTATATCTCGCTGAGTAACGTCTATCACAATTAGGATGTTATTGAGTGTTTTAAGCATCTAACCCTCTGCCAAACTGAGAAGAAATACAGGGGATCTAAACCATGCTCTCTGCGTACAGAGAGCTTGTAAGCAGGAGGAAGGGGATACTGACCCATGAACAATGAAAGCTCAGAGAAGTGCAAAATGAAGTCCTAAACCACATAGGATGGAAAGAGAATTAGACAGTGGGTAGAATAACATGCTAATTACCAGATGCAGAACTGAAATTGTAAATTGTGGTTACACACAAAAGGCTTTATCGTAATACAGCTCTTTTCTTCCCCTCCAGCAAATGATAGAGGTCGTCAAGTCTTCAGGCGGCCTTTTCCCCAACCCTCTAGAAGAAGGAATCTCATTTGATATTTACTCAACATTCATAGAGCCACCCCCAGCATTGGATACAGAAATGAAGGTATGTTTCTTTTTGTCTCTTAATTCAACCTGTCTCAGCATGAGACTTTCTAAGGGTGAGAGGAAAGGAAGCAAATATTCTTCCATTTTTCTATCTCTTGTGACTTTCCCCAGCTAAATATAAATGTTTGTTTTACCATTGATTCGCAGGTGGGCCAGCTGAGATTGGTTCAGGAATTTTAATCTTTTCCACTCCATCATCTTCCCCAGTTTCCACCTTCACTTTCTCAAAGTAAGCACGGTTAGCACCATGACTTGGTCTGTCATGATGCTCATAAATAATGAAAATGCAGGATGATGTCAAATTGCAATCTCCTGGCAGATTGACACCACTCCTGGTAGCAAATGACTCAGAAGTTTGAGGCTCCGTATAAATCCCCGAATGCTCTCGATATCACCTGAACATTGTTTACTTTCCATATTCTAGATACTGGATCAAGAGCAAGGCTCAGTGGAGACCCAGCCAGCAGCCAGCACTTCAGAGACAGATGCTTTAGCTGGTCTCACCATTGAAGATATAAAATCCGTGCTTGCCCAAGTCACAGACGACATCCTAATCGGCATTCAGGTGCTCAGCCTTGATAATGTGCTCGCTTACTTCATTACTGGTTAATTAGCCAACCTCATCCTTAATGTCTGTAAGCACTACCTACACTCGGCTAGCAAGAGCATCGCTTATGATGGAAGAGTTCAATTTAACATCTCCACATAACTCTCAGTTGAGTCATCTGAGACTCAATAACATCACAAAATAACTTCGCCAACAGCACATAGTGTAGTGAGTGTTATCAGTTTGAAAAATCATTCAGCATCGAAACCCAAAAAATAACATGGTAAAGACTTGGTGCCTTGTCATAACAAAATCACTCATGCGAGAGTAATTAGAGTACATTGCTAAAAGCAGTAAACACTGAAGATCACAGCATAATTCTCAGCTCAGTTTTCTCACCAAATTTCTAAAAGAAGTTTTCAAGTCTTTGAACTCCTTCTCCAATAGTTTGCTCCTTTTCACATCGCACTAATAGCTACACAGTTTATACCAATAGATGCATGAAAACGGTGCTGGCAACAGCCAGCTCAGCAGCAATTGCCAATGATGGATCAGTCGGCTTAGCTTTATGCTTAATTTTTTTTCCCCATCCAGAAAAGCACATTTCTACCTCTACACAAAGACTTGCATCATTGCCCAGGCAAAATGATTAAATAAGTGAATTGCATATTTTGAGAGGATTTATAATTTCTTGTGGAAATGACTGTGAATCAATAAGACAGTCTACTGCATGTTTAAAATATTAATGCATCATGCTATCTGAGCATGAGACTGTATATAAAAAGCACACTGTATTAACAACTAATTTAGAAAGGGCAAAAGATTAGCTTGGCATAAGCATACCTTGTTACTGTTTAATCATCAAATGTTAATGCACTATTTACATGAACGTTTAATGATTTGATGCCAACAGAATCAGCCAAAGTTCTTGGCTTAATAAAGAGTATTTAGTGTTTACCAGAAATAGTGGAAGAACACGTTTTACACAAAGCTGTATTGTTAACAACCCCATGAATGTAATAACTGGTTACTGTGTGGAAGGGCAGAGTGCAGTTGAATCAAGCTGAGTTCAGAACATATCTCCTTTTTAGAAGTGATAACATTTCATCTAAATATAGTTTATGTATAATCATGGCCCTGGGCTCCTTTGCGATCCTGTGGCTCTGAAATTATTGCTGAGGAACTACTACACAGTAATAGAATTGTTTGCAGGCCCGAAAAATTGAAAACATCTTTACCAAGGCCATATTCCATATAGTGAGTGTGCTTTTAACTATTTATTGATTTTTTTTAATATTAGAGTCTGCAGTATTTATAACACTACTCTGTAAACAAAATAATATGATTGCTGTATACGTACATGATTGTCCATTGGCCTGCAGTGATCCTTAACTGGGCTTGGAAGTTCATTAGTTGGGTCATCTAAGTAGTATAATTAGACAGAGAAAGAATCTGGACCAGAGGAGAAGGTGCTACAATCATTTCCATATTAAGTGGATTCAGGGATTAGCCTGGGCCAAATTACTGCCAACTTTTCAATAAAATGACATGATGATGTGGATTTATGCAATGCTTCAAGATAGTAAATTCTTTTATGTATTTTCTACCAATTATTCTAGTAAACTGTAGGCAAATTACGCAGGCACTTCTCTGACAAATAAATTAAAAAAGGAGAGAAGCAGGAAAACTGAGTCATTTGTCCAGAGTTTCCAAGGTCAGAAGCTGATGAAAGACTCTGAATGGGAATTGTAAACTGGGTTCTAGTTTGAATTCCAGAGCTATCCACAAAAACCACATAACCTCTAATATCACGACCAGACTACTTTGGGTTTTAATACTCCCGTGGTGTGGCACTTTTTCAGTGTTTGCCCTTGTGTCTTGGTCTGATTCCAAGTTGGGTAATTACTCTCTGCTTACCTAAATTCCTCCCCCTGTTTTAGATGGTAAGTTATTTTCCAATTCAAAAACCTACCTCCCAGTGTCCCGGCTCTTAAAACTGCCGCATCCCTGTTCAAAGGTAGCCACATGCCAGTGGCCAGTGTGTGTAGGCCTGAATACACTGGCCTGCTGTAGAAACATTTACTGAATTATTAATTGTAAACTGCTTAGAATTTTCCAATAGTTTTTCTTCTCATTTACTTTAAAAATCATATAATTATTACATTTTTTGGAGGAAAAGGCAGTAGAGAAATCATGTTTTAAGTACAATTTTTTTCAGAGCTCCTTCTCTAGTGTGATTATAGGCATATTTTACTTCCTGTAATTCAGAAATTTCTGAAAATGTAGTATGAATCCTTAAATTTTGTATATTAATTCACTTACATTCCCATTGACTCACTTTATAGTTTTAGAGATTTATTAAGAATGAAGAAAAAAAAAGAATGAAGTTATCTTGGTCTGGAGATGTTAATTAAAATTATACTGAATAGAGCAAACATTAAAGTTATATAGTTTAGTTATTTTAATTTTAAAGACACATTGAAAATGAAATTATTTTGGCCCCATATTGTATAATAAAAGATTATACCCAATGGAGCAAACTTTAATATATTTAAAGAATTACATTTCAGAGAAATATGAATGCTAACACTAAATTCTTGCTGTTGGCTCAGTCTAAGCAACACGGTAAAATAAAGTGAAAACCTTGAGGGAAGTTTGCCATCTTGGGACTGTAGAGATTTTTAGGTCAACTTGAATTTCCAGGTTAGAAAACCCGAGTGAGATCACCTCAAGGAAGTGATCACTGAGAGGCCACTGAACCAGGGCATATGTTTCCCATTCTTCCGGAAAGGAAACAGAGCATACCCAAGCCTAGTGGGTGTGGGGTAGCTTGTCTGTTCAGCTGGGTGCTAAGGAATAACCGGGAGAGATGGTAGACCAACGACAACCTGTTTTTGACCAGATAAGGAGTCTTTCATCTGGCTCTGTTGGTTGTACCTGAACTGAAGTTTGATCACCACAGTGGTGATCTTAAACGTAACTCCCCTCTGTCAGTACACCACTCTGTGAGGTGTGCACCTTACCTCCAGGAATCTTTTCCCCAAAGCCCACACTTGTGTAGATGAATTCTGTTTCAGTGAAATACCAGAAAGGTCTCCAGGTTAATGTGAAAAAACCCTGGTAAGACAGTGAAACAGAAGCTGGTAGATGATAGTACATCTATCCTTAGTTGAAAAGAAATGAGATTATTGATGGGCATAGAACACATTCTATCATCCACTGCTTAATGGCAGAGATACATTCTGAGAAATGCATCATTAGGTAATATTATTGTGCAAACATCAGGGAGTATACTTAACATCAAACATCATGGAGCCCACATCACCAAGGCTATATGATATAGCTTATTGCTCTTAGGCTACAAGCCTATGAACATGTTACTGTGCAAAACAACACAAGATTAAATTAAGTACAGGGGAGAATGATGCAATCAAGAAACACAGTAATCATGAGTCCACTGCCTGTGAAACAAAACATTTTTTATAAGTAGAAAGACAACACTCTAAAATAATAATGAAAAGGGTTGTATATTAAATATATAAACTAGTAACATAGTTGTTAATTATCATTATCAAGTAGTATACACTGTACATTATTGTATGTGCTATATCCTATATAATAAAAGGCTAATATGCAAATCAACTGAAAAGTGGAACAACTGGTCGCTGTGATGTGCACTGACCATCAGGGGGCAGACGCTCAATGCAGGAGCTGCCCCCTGGTGGTCAGTGCGCTCCCACAGGGGGAGCACCGCTCAGCCAGAAGCCGGGCTCATGGCGAGCACAGTGGCGGTGACAGGAGCCTCTCCCGCCTCCACAGAGCGCTAAGGATGTCTGACTGCCAGCTATCCCCCAAGGGCTCCCAGACTGTGAGAGGGCACAGGCAGGGCTGAGGCCCCCTGCCCCTCCGAGTGCACAAATTTTGTGCACCAGGCCTTTAGTACTTTTATATGATTGGTAGCACAGTATGTTTGTTTATACCAGCATCACCACAAACATGTGAGTAATGTGCTATGCTACAACATTACACTGGCTACAACATCACTAGGCGATAGGATTTTTTTCAGCTCCATTATAATCTCACTAGAGGCCTGATGCACAAAATTCGTGCAAGGGTCTCAGCCCTCACAGCCCCAAGGCGGCCCTCGCAGCCCCTCACACCCTCGTCCAGAAGGTCATTCTGCTGTTTGGTCTAATTAGCATATTAGCTCTTTATTGTATAGGATGGGGCCACTGTCATATATATATAGTCTGTCTTGGACCAAAACGTCCTTATGAAGCAGGGGACTATAATTGAAAGTGGGAAGAGTCAATTTAGTTCAAACTGCCCAATTCTTTGGAATTGTGACCACATTATTCTTCCAACCATTTTATCCCTATATGGAATAATGTGCATGGCATAAAGAAATAGGAGTAACATATTTTTAAAATATTCCATAACATCATGTCACTGAAATATAATGGTGAATATATCACAAAATTAGGAATTGGAATTATGAATTTAAAAGTTAGCATGTAATATTAACTTAATACTTAATTTTTAATTGCTCAATATTTCAGGTAAGAACTAAGACCCTAAGTGGTCAAGTGTCTTGCCCAAGGCTACAATAGCTAAACTAATCCCTAGGTCTCCACACTCCTAGACCTGTGTGCTCCTTTCAGCTCTCCCCTAATCATGCCTGAGGGATTAGAGATTCCTAAAAAAAATGACAGAGTTCCTTTGTAACCTGGAGTACCATTTTCATCCCTCTTTGGCTGTTTCACTCTACCACCAAGAAAGGACAAAATGGAAAACCAGAGGACAGAACTTGATCCAAGGCTTGATAATACTTGAACAATAACAACAACAAAAAAATCACTTGATACTCTGGCATTACACAAGAATTTAGAATTGACACCAGCGTGATCTTTTCAGAAATATTTAGTCCTTACTGTGAAGGTTAAAAAAATCTCATCAGATATGGCAACCAAGATGTAGTATTTCAAAACTATCTATTATAGTTATCCTCATAAAGAAAGAAATAAGAATGGAAAGGTATAGCTGGACCAAAACAGTATTTGATTTTTAAAATTTCTACATAAAATTAATAGGAGTTCCTTAAAGTATAATTACCCTGAAAACTTGAAATTATGTTATAGATATGAACATTCTAAACTTTGAATTAGTAATTAACACATATGTATAGACTACTCTTCATACACTTGTAGATTTTTTTAAATCATCTAAACAAAAACACCAATTTTACCACATCACCCAATCCTGGTTTCTCTACACATGATTTTATTATCCATCACGAAGAAGAGCAGACATTTCCGGGGCTACTAATGTTCAGTTAATGTGGAAGTATTTCTGGAAATGTGCAGGTAGCAACGCTAGTCCACGGAATATCACTGCCAGAGGCTAAATGCGATCACAGCTGCAGTAAACACTAGAACCTGTCAGCAATCACTGACTTTTTTCTACCAAAACTATACCACCAAGTGGCATAATTCCAAGAGTTATAATGTTTGATGAATACATTTAATTAAGAAAATTGTTCTAATCATGAGATTATTTGTGTTGCTATTTCACAACAGAAGCTTTCTGGGATCCCATTTAGAATGTACTACACAGGAGACAAAAACATTTATTGCAAAGGAGTGGGGAGACCAACAACATTGCAATAACTGAGCCCTGAGCAGTTATTCTGATTCGATGCTTCTTGGTAAAGTCTGTCTGAAAATACAGATAAATTATCCTATCTTCCAACACAAGGCTATGTGAAAAATGGCTGTCCAAATACCACTTCCTGTTCATAGCAGACATGCTATACATTGGGAATGTGCAGAGAAATATGATAAAGTGTTATCACATCACTACAGGCTGAAACACGGCTATGTCTGCAAAACAGGAAGGTGTGTGAGGGATAATGTCTGTCTTTAGGCACTATAGTATGTCAAAACCACAAAGACAATGTGCAGCGAAAGATAGCTCCATCATAACCACTTTTTTATGATTGTCTTCACAGGCCGAGATAAACGAAAAGCTGCAAATACAGGAAGAGGCCTTTAATGCACGAATAGAAAAATTGAAAAAGGCCTGAGGAGTCGGTACAAAGAGAGTGATGCTGAACTTCACAGAAGCAAACAAAACCAGTCAGAATAATAGACTCTCTAGAGCATCGTATCTCTTTTATTTAGTTGGGAGAGGAAAACCAAGCCCCACTTTTTATTATCGTAAGTAATTAGAAAAGCATTGGCCCCAATTTTGCTATCTCCTGTCCCCTAGCAGCCTCTGAATTTATTGCATTGAGTGTAATAAGAACATTTTGTATACAAGAGTTTGGAGAATTATATATATAAATACAATTACAATACTCCTTTGACATTTTGACTAATGAATATTATTCATCTTCAAGCAGAATGAAGCCAACATTTTTAAATACAGACAAATAATGATAATTTTATCCATATTGACTACCCCATAAATGAAGCACTGTGGACAGATACTACTACCACACTACAAAGTATAAAACTTACTAAACAAAAGCTATTCAAATGCATCTACTAGGGGATTTTTTTCTTAAATCATTTGGTTTTCTTATTTGAACATTTCAGTGTGAAACCAATTTTCTGAAATTACATAATGCAGTTTGAAGCACTTTAATTTATTCTGTACTGTATTTGTTATTTCTAATCTTGTTACTCTCCCAGGAGAATACATGACCTATATAAAAAGAAGCAATGTATAAATGGTTATTAAAGACCAACCTATATATAGACCGTAAAAATCTTAACTACAAATCAAACACAGAGCTCTTAAAATTAACCATTATATTGCAGTAGAATGATTGAAAACATCTCAAGCCTTTAAATACCTTTATTAAAATGTCATTTCAAAAGAAAAATATCTATTTACCAACTGGTTATCCCTAGTCAGACAAATTAAACTAATTATTACTTAGGCCCTTTCCAAATGTCTTAGACTTCGGAGTATTTCAGAATGGAGAGGTTTCTGGGAGGGGACAGTTCCTTCAAATAGTTTCCAGTTTATACTGGAACCAGCTGTACTTGCATCTGGGTGGTACTTGGTTGGATATGTTCTGTCTGTGCTCTAACCTCAGGCTATAACCTTACCTTCTCCATCAGCTCCAGAGAGATTTCCCAAAATGTGTTTATTTGGAGGAGAGGCAGATCTGGCAGCATTTGGTAATTTTCTAAGTACACTGATCAGCAGCGTAAGCGACATCCTTAAGATGAAACCATGTCTATTGCTCATGTAGTTCCCAGACTAGAAGGCCTGGAGATGTGCTGAGATGTGTTTTTCCTAGAGCTGTCTTCACTAATTGAAATGTTCATGGCCACAGCAGAGCACTAGGGGGGCTCACATATCTTAATTCCATCAAGCAGTCTTTTTCTCCAGGGAAAACAGAAGTGAAGCTAGAGAAACCACAAACCGGGAATAAAGGAGCTTCTAGAAATCACCAAAGAGCTTCAAATGCAGTTGTTGGCACAGAGTGGACCTGCATTTCCAAGAGTGCTTATTTTGAGCAAAGGTACCAAGAGTCCACCCTGGCTGTGTGGCTCAGTGGTTGAGCATTGACCTGTGAACCAGGAGGTCATGCTTTAATTCCTGGTCAGGGCACATGCCCAGGTTGCAGGCTCAATCCCCTATTGGGGGCATGCAGGAGGTAGCCAATCAATGATTCTCTCATATCATTGATGTTTCTATCTTTCTCTACCTCTCCCTTCCTCTCAGAAATCAATAAAAATATAATTTTAAAAAATTGTAAGAGTCCAAAACTGTTTAAAAACTGCAGTAGCATCCCTAAACACTACACAGAGACAATATACTATAACTAGAGGCCCGGTGCACGGGTGGGATCCAGCCGGCCCGCCCCAATCAGGGCCAATCAGGCCAGGCCAGCCAGGGGAGGGGACGCGGGAGGTTGATTGGCCGGCCTCGCCTCTGATCAGGGTTGGGGGGGCCAATCGGGGGCAAGGGCAGCCAGGAGAAGGGGCTGTGGGCAGTTGGGGGAGCGATTGGGGACGAGGCCAGCCCACCAATCTCCCACAGCCCCTCCCTCAGGCCAGCTCCACCCCTGGTCGAACTTCCAGTCGAACTCCGGTCGAACTCCCAGTCGAGGGGACAATTTGCATATTAGCCTTTTATTATATAGGACTGTGCCTAAAGCACACGAGCATGCCTAAAGCATGCCTCTGGAATAAGACTTCCAGAGTCTGATATTGGCTTCACCAATGGCTAGTGTGTGACTTTGGATAGGCTGCTCAACCTCTATTTGCTCATCTGTTAAATGGGCATAATACTTATTTTGAGGTAGTTATGAGGATTCAATAAATACATATTAAAAGGATGTTTGTTCTAAGATTTGGTTCCCATTTACCTCTGGGGATACCACAAAGCCACTGTTCATTTCTAATACCCACTGCCCAGAATTGCTAGCCTTCTCTGCCTCTCCACTAATACTTGTGTGTCCTCCCACAGTAACCACGTTGCCACCCTGCTGGCCTACATCTTCCATGTTGGGGAACCAGGGCTCTCTGTGGGAGCCTAACTTTCATACCTAATAATAAAAAGAGAAAGAACAATCATAGTAACAGTAGCTACAAATTTGAATTCACAGTCTCTGCTCTTTTAAATTAATTTCAAATTGATAAATACATGTACTTACACACAATTATTTTAAAAAACTGTAGACAATGAAAAATGCCTTTCACCCTAGCTTCTCTCATTTCACCTCATTTCTCTCCCTACAAGGCAACTATAGCTTCCAGTAAGTTCTTAGAAAAGGATTTTTTGCCCATTTAAGCAATTGGATGATTGTATCCTGATTATACCTGTACAGTGAATTCCTAGAGGAATAAATTTTTAGGTCAAATTTTATTTGCATTTCCAATTTTGATAGATATGATCAAGTGGCTTCCAAAGATATTTCACCAACAATGTATGAAAAAAACTGTTTCTCTACATTGCTACCAATAGCATACATTGCCCAATTTTTTATCTTTGATATTCTGATAGATAAAAAGTAATGTTACAGTATTGTTTTAATTTGCTTTTATTGTTTTACTCAAAATGGACTGAACACCTTCCATATGTTTATAAGCAAATTTTATATATATATACTTAAATTATACATATATATATATTAATTTTCCTAATAACCCTAAGATAGATATTATTAGCCTTGTTTTATTTACAAGTTCTGAAGCCTGAAACTTTAAAAGATTATTAACTTGACCCAAGTTGCACAATAATTGATGGATCAAGGCTTCAAACCCAGGTTTGACCTATTTTACAGATAAGGAAACTGGAACACAGAAATTTTAAGTAATTTTCCCATGACCACGCAGCCAGTCAATGGTAGAACCAGGTTTTGAACTTAGATATGTATGAGTAAAAAGCCCACATACTTAACTTTTATCTTTATCTAGTTATGTCATAGCCAATATGAAACAAAGTGAAAACTGACCTTTTCGTTATTAATTATGATAAGGGAACAAACTTGTTTATGTTGCTGCCATATTAAGTATTTATAAAATTTGTGCAAGGATGCAACGTATCACCCAGGTCCCTTCATTCATTCGTGCATTCATTTTTTTACTATAAATTCATTGAGTACCTACTATGTGCCATTGCATTTAGTAGTGAGCAAATAGATGTGGTCTCTACTTAATCTAGTGGGAGTGATAGTTAATCCTAACTGTGAAAAAGACAAGCTTCAGGGAATTGCAAGTATTGGACAAAGGAGCTTGATTTAATCTAGGAGGTCAGGAAAGCAACCCACGAGTTTTGAGATTTGAGCTGGGGTCTGAGGGACAGAAGTTAACTGGACAGAAGACGGTGAAGGAAGATGGGGTCCAGGTGAGAGAAACGCATGTGCAAGGTCCCTGGGCCACAAAATGAGGGCGAACAGTTGCCCACAGCCAGAGCTTGCAGGGTTCCATAGACTACACAGATTTTTATGTTTAACCTAAAAGCAGTGGGAACTTGTTGATAAGGTTTTAAGTAGCAAGTGACATCAGATTAGTATTTTTAAAGAGTCTATCTCCCTGGTGCCAGGATTTCTACCCATAGAAATGTGGAAAAATATTCTCATGAAAGGATTCCTACTGTTAATGGTGCTATAGCTCTACTTCTCAGCAATTTCTAAGAGTGGGGGAAATAAAAATTCTGACTTTTTTTTAATGTCACAAAGTCCACCTACTGTAAGCAGTCTCTGACACAAAGGCAGCCCTCTGAAGAGCCAATTAAAAACAAAACTAACCTATCACTTAGATAAGCAGCTGACCTTCTCTTATCCACAGTAAGGTATCTTTCTTCCATTTGCAGGAATAATTTGGGGTGTTTTTTCTCACCCCCATGATAAATTTCAAAGATAATATATTATGAATAAGCCACAGTCTGCCACTATCGCAGGTATTTGCAGGCACTCTTGTGCCTAAATATAGCTGGGGAGTCATTTTCTTTTTTCAAAATCTGAATATAAAGCCCCTATTTCTGTCCTCCATTTGATTGGAACTATTCAACCATCCTGGTAGATAATAAGTTTGCATGTTCTTAGATTGCATTTCATTATGCTTCATTTCCCCTAGAGAATCAATGTACTCCTTTTCCCGACAATTATAGCAGAGAAGTACTTCTGACATCTCAAATTTCAGAGTCTCAAGAAGACGGCCCTCTTCTGGACATCAAAGTTTGTGGGGGGGGGGGGGGATGATTTGTTAAGTAAGAGAAGTCAGAACCCCTTTGTGGCAGCCAAAGTACCTATTAATTTAAGTTTCTTAAGCAAAAATAATCTAGATCTAAAGAATACCATCTTGTTGGAAATCAAATCCCAAAACAGAGAGAGAATACCAAAAACCTCTTTTGCTTTTAGAATTCCACCCATTTTCATGGAAATACCAGCAGTGGTGATTGGCTTAACATTTTTTCTCAGCGCTGCCAAAGAATTCTGTGTTATTTTCTTTTCTTGTTGGCTCCAGACAATGTTCAATGATCATTTTGGTGTTTGTTTCTTTTTTTTAATCTAGTGTGTAGTTTATTCTGGGTACTTTCTAGGCACTGGATGAACTAAGACACATAAGGTCCTTGCCTTCATGAAGTTCATGGAATTGCTAAAGTTTATAATCTAGAATCAGATGATAGCCCAGTTGGCGTGGCTCAGTGATTGAGCATGAACCCTATGAACCGGGAGGTCACCGGATAAGCAAGTAAATAAATAAGGTAATCTTTGATAACAATAAATAATGCCAATGATCAATGCAAAGCCAATGGGATAAAGGGTTCTGGGAGAGCTGCTTTACCTGGGGTGCTCCAAGAACCCTTCTTATAAGGGATGACTTTTGAGCTGACCAGAATAGAAG